TCGCTCACACACTCTTGTGTTGTGATTGTACCAATGACATTGAACAGGAGAGTTTGTGGCTCCCAATGATAAAATTTTCTTTTCGAGTAATCCTATAGATTAACAATATAAGTCCATGATTCAGCAGCAATATAAATGAATTACATGACTCATTGACCTCATGGTATGAGGGCCACCTAGATCTACACAATTTTGTCAATACTGAAGCTACCAGAAACCTTAAATGTCGTAAGTACTTGCTAAAGGAATCTTGCTGGAATTGACCTTTTTTCTTCGTTTGGCTGAAGCCTCAATCGAGAGACACTGACAATTAGATATTTTGTGCAATAAAGCAAAACAACAATAACAAAAACACTGTATTAAGTGTACCTGTAAAAATATCACACATATAGCATTGTGTATGTATGCTTAAAATCTTCTAAAAGCTACTTATGACATCTATAATATTTACTTTCACAAAAAAGGCATACTATTTTTTTTTCTGAAAGTGCTATTATGAAATATATGCCCCAAATGGAGGTTCTCTGAATGTTTAAGCTTTTAACAACCTTTAGCTTCCGAGGAAGTAAATCAAAACCCATCAAACAGACATTTAGCCAACATTCTGTCCAAATACCTATAAACACACACACAGATCCGTCTCTAGAGGATGTCTATAGAGGAAGATGCATTCACACTGACAGCAGTTACATTGCTGGAGATCAACCACTTGCTGTATTGTGGGTTACTAGCAGGTATTTCTACTCAACTTCTTTATTCAGTGACAGATCATATGAGTGATCTCATCATATGTTTACACACTTCCTTTAGTAACCAACACATTGCTTCACTGGCCATTTGCATAAAGTTGAGGTCTCTGTCACTTGTGTCGCCTCAAATTGCCAACTCTAACTAAAAATAAATGGCAAATGGTTGATTTGCAAATCACTGTCAATGTGAATAACCTTTATGTTCATTACAAACTTCAATGAGATACCGATTTGATACCGATATCAACTACATCCTCAGCTTATATTCAGGTCAACTGTAGAGAAGTCAATATTCTGTCAATAAGCTGTCACAGACTGTATTTTGTCTTTTGGAGTTATATAAGCTGTGAGCTTAAACCGAGACAGCAAAAACTGATATGAATGTACAGTGCAATAGCCAGCTTTGATCAGTGCAATAGCCAGCATTCTGGTGGATGAGGTTGAATGGAGTAAGAGAGTAATAGGATGTGAGCGTGTATGTGGGTGAGAGAGAGAGTCTTCGTCTTTCTTTCCCTTTGTTAATGTGAATTGTGAAGCATTCCTGCACTGGTATCCTTTGAGGCCCTTACAACGAGCAGCAGCATGATGGCAAACAGCCATAAAAAAAAAAAAAAAACATAAAGAGATGAACCTTCCTTTTATTTATTTATTATAATTATTATTTTTTTTAGATATGAAGGTTTTGGTTGCCTTTGGCTGTAAATAGTTGTGTGACATAGTCACTAAAACGGTGGTAGTTCAGTACCCAACAGTTTATGAGCTATATATTAAACAACAAGATAGAAACAACATTAGACAAAACATCTTTTAGCTTTGATGGAACTTCAACACTGCTAGAAGTTTAAAGTGTTAATGAGTTAAAAGTGTTAATCTCTCTCTCTTTCTCTTTCAGCATTTTGGGAGTGAAACGTCACTGCAAACTGAACTCTGCTCTTACAAATCACATAACCATGTATTTAATGTTCACTTCTATTTGTAAGGTGATTGGCATCCTCCATTGTTAAAATGATTGCCCAAACACCTCTAGACGGAAAATAAAGTGAGTATTGCATTTTCAACTTCTTGAATGATCAAAAGTGTGATACTGTCCTCAAGACTTTCCTTAAAAATGTGGTACTGGCTTAAGGAAACAGACTGTTGCCTTGGCGGGATTTCAGAGACTCTATGCTTGTATGAATCTGATTAAGGGCTAAGTTGATAATAAACATAAGAGTGTTTTAATAAGTGCTACAAAAATTGTAAGTGTGTGAATGTATTTGGGTTACTGGAAGGCTTGGTGGAAGCGAGGCAGGGTGGTGGTTGTATTCAGAGATGGTGGATGTGTATAACTCGGAGTGAGTGCATTGGTTTGTGACAGTGTGTGTGAATGTGTGATTGTGTGAAGGAGGCTAAGAGGCTCTGGGGTGTCTTGCATGGGGGTGGTCAGTAGCCCCTCCTCCTGGCTGTAAGCCACTCCCAAAGTAGGCCCTGCCCCTTGGTTGTAAGGCAGAAAATTAAACAATGGAGACAGAAAGTCCAGGGATGATGTTGTCTCTCCAGTCACCGTTGCAGAAGCACTCAGCTTGGGTGTATCTTCAGCCTGTAGCTCTAAGAGATAACTTTCAAGCTCCGCCCTCAGTGGCGGCGTTGGTGAGTAAGAAGCATGACCTATTGGATACCTCAGAGAGAGAGGCCCAGGTGTTGGCGAGGATTGTGACTCCATCAAATCTACGGGCTCTGCCTTAACTCTCAGCAGCTCATGAGCGTGGCTTTTCTTAACATGCCGGGTAAGGTGGTCCTTACGGCCGAATCGTTGTGCACAGTACTGGCAAAGGAAGTCCTTGCGTCCTGTATGCACAACCAAGTGGCGTCGCACGTCCTTACGGGTGTAAAAACGCCTTTCGCAGTGCTCACACTGATGTCGCTTTTCTTTAGTTGCGGTAGTGCTTTTCCCTGCGTGTCCACGTAGGTGCTCCAGCAGTAGGGGAGTGCTTGGGTATGACTGCAGACACACCTGGCAGGTGAGGTCTCCACGGTGTGCGGCGTGAAGGGCTTGGTGCCTTCGAAAGCCTAGTTTGGTATTGTAGCTCTTGCCGCATTCTGTGCAGATGAAAGCCTCCTTGTTGGGGTCGTGTGTGTGGAGGTGGTTCTTCAGGTGATCTTTACGGTGGAACATCTTCTCGCAGTAGCTGCACTTGTGTGTCTTTTCTGGAGAGTGTGTGGCCATGTGCCTATGGACACAAACACATTAGCGTAGATTGACCAGACTAGAAACTTTTAATGTCCAAATGTTATCAAACAAACCTGAGTATATCTGGTCTTGCTTAATAAGATTTCATCAAGTTAAGTGACTTATAATATTCTTATCAATCAGTCAATCAGATTTTTGGTTTTAGCTTAGGAGGTGGAGTTAGGATTGCAGTTTTCGGGGCTTTAACATACCTTTCAATCAAATATTACCTTCTGATATTAGGTGTAAATTGGTATTAGGGCTTCAACAATATAATAAACTTATTTACCTCTGAATCTTGTGGTAGTTAAAAGGACAGTTTATCCACAAGTTTGGTGATGTGGTTTCGACCCCATTTAGTTTCAGAAATACCGTTTGAAACAACAAGAGGGAGAGTAAATGAGAGAATGTTTCATTTTAAGTGATCTATCCTTTTAATGGTCAAGATTAAGATGTAGGTAAGAATGTTGTTTCCAAGACCACTGAACTACGAACACCTTATTTTGCAAAATAACAATTATCATATGATTTCAGACCATTCACCTATTTTCAAATTTTGAGTGAGACAAAAACAGTGGGTTTGCATCAGAGACATATGATGGCCATGGAATGGTTTGTGAAAGTATAAGTACCTACCGTAAGAGTTTATACTTGGAGACGAAGGCCTTGGTGCAGTCAGTGTGTGTGCAGTGATACGGCCTTTCCCCTGTGTGGGAGTACGAGTGTACCTTCAGCTTCTCCAAGCTGTTGAAGGCCTTCTCACACAACTGACAGGAGAAGTTCTTCCTCACTTTACCCTCTACTCTCCTCTTCCGCACTCGACAGTGTCCTGCCGTGGTGGGGCAGTCGTTTGGAGATACCGTTGCCATGGCAAATTAGTGACAGCAAGCCATGTGGTGGACACGAGTGATATGTCCCAGCACAGAGAGAGTGTGACAGCCCAAATCTTCAACACAGCAGAGATGCAAGGCCCTAAAAAAAGACAGCAAACAGTGAATTGACTAGATGAATGAACTGACTACTTTTTATGTAGTACCGCGTCAGTAAAAAAATACATTGCAATAGTACCTTCACAGCTTGTACAGCTGTTGAAATATTTCTGAAGCCCAAAAAATTATTAAACAAACAAATAAATAAATAAATAATAAATGACTGTTTTCAAATCTGTAATTGATTTCAGATTACCTTTTAAAATTTTTCATTTCGTCGGTTGTATCACCTGAGGACACTCCGTGTACCACTGATGGTGTTCGTACTAAATTTTGAGAACACTAGACTAGACAATGATAACAGGATACAGAAATCTGTATCCAGGCAAAATGATTAACGCTTAATGAAAAACTTTAGCTAAAACCTTACTAAGTAATAAAATACTTGCTTTCCTTTAATAAAATACTTTAATTTACGGCCATGCCATCATAGTATGCAGTGTCACATAGAAGCCACTTGTAGGTTGATTTAATTTTAAAGCGTAAATACTGTTGAAACAGTATAAACTGTGTAAACACAGTGGCACACTGCATACATATAAAAATATAGAGAACATGCAATAAATACAAAGTTGCAAACTATACTTATTGGCATACAAAACTTTCAGGATATGCAGATTGTATGAAGAATTGTGTAAAAGGGCAAGGTTCACTAAACCTATTTAAAACACAGAAGTGCAGACTCTCTAAACTTAAACTCTTTAATAACTTCAGCTGCTCTTCTTTACTTTGGGTTTTGCACTGATATCCACTTGCCTTCCTATTTTCAAAGACTATAAAGTATTTACCTTGCCAACATCACTTCTTTACTTGTCTCTCTTTCACATATTTTTCCTTAATTTATTTCACAAACTCACAAAAATTTGACCAGCTATATATCCTGCATTTTTTCTTTCTTTTTTTTTTTCAGTGCTATACAATCCCCTCATGGCATTCCATGTGTGTTTTGCTAAACTGTTTCAGTGGAATATTTGCAATGAAAAGACAAAGAAGAGGAAGTGTGAAAATTTAAAGCTAAAAGGCTGTCATTAAACACAATTGTTTTTTTTTTCAGATAAGTTAAAATTAATGTTTTCTCTCACATTAATATCTCACATTGTTCCTTTCCATACTGGATGGATTAAAGACTACCATCCAACAACTCTTTAAACATTAAAACAACAACAAATACATTCCTTAAAAAAATAAAATAAAAAAGTTAAACCTGTTAACTTATTCTTACATGCCTCATCTTCCATGATTTATTAAAATATGTATATTACAATTAGGCTATTATTTAGAACAAAATGGGTTGTTACTTAGAATTGCATTAACTTTTTTGTCATCAAGATTTTTCTAGCATTGCAGTTTTAGTAATTACTTTTAATTTTAAATTAAATGGCAAAACACAAAACATAAACGTTTAGAATTGTACCAGCACAAATGTCCAATGTATTCTTACAAGTAAGTTCAGTTTTTTGAAATAACAAGAAGAAGAAGAAGGGAATTAAACAAATATTGTTTAATATTAAACAAAATCTTACAAGGAAAAAATAACATTGTAATTGTAGTCTCCTTGGCAAGACACATCACTAATGTCTGCAGAGTTTCATTAGTTAAGCTACATATATACTTTATTACACATATTTTAATGTAGTTCAGTAAGACATTTTAATGCAAGAGAACATAAAGCACCATCTATATCTAAGAATGCATTACTTGGTTAAATTGTAACAGTTTTAAGTCTATACAGTCAAGACTATGAAAACAAACAAAAAATGTAGCCTAAACAAACAAAAATAAAGCATAAAATATTCTACTCTGATGAAAAAAGCTTTATTCATTCATTCCCATCTAATTAAATAGGCTGCATAATACATGTAATTTGGCAAACGCTTATCCAAAGCGACTTATAGCCTATTGCATTCAAGGCACAAATTTCATCTAGGTAAAGGTTCTAGCTTTCCCTAGGAATCAAACCTATGGCCTTTGTGTTGCTAGCTCTGTCTGAGCTGCAGGAAGTATTAAAAAAAACATACAACCTTCCCGTGAAGCCTCTTATAGGCTATTAGGAGTGCGAACTGCATGGACTAGTTTCGCAGAATTTTTTTTTTAATTATTAAGTTATTCATATTTCAAAATCGTATTTCACAATGCTGGCTGCATGCACCAAATCTAACAACTTAATTACGCGGTCCAACAATTATTTCACCTTTTTGACTACCGAAATAAAGTATAAGTTCTAAATATAGGCTAAAAATACGACATTCCCTGAATGCTAAATCTTTGGCTTTTTTTTCTGCGAAACTGATACATGCAGTTCGCACTAGCCTACTAATAGGCTATAGTTGGCTACAGGGGAAGGTTTGACGTTTTTTGAGTTTTTGAAGGACTCCGAACTTCACATTCACATTCACAACAACTGTGCGGAAAACCCGATGACCCCCTTCACCTGAAATGCTATTTTTTTTAAGAACACCCAGGAGCAGTTGGATGGAGGTGTTTCATAGCCCAGATGGAGAATCTTAACCTCCAACCTTCCACCGCATCTGGCCATATGCCGTGTAGGCTATGTTTATATAAACCTTCTATCTTTAATTGCAAACACACACACGCGCGCGCAATGCGCTGATTTTAACAGTTCTACAATGTAGGCTATTTTGCGCACAATGCCTCTTATGCTCTTTCGTTACCACACGCAGAGCCATCACATGCATATGTTTCATATGAAACTATATCTGATTGCAAACTATAAAATAAATTTACGCTGACATTCTACAGAAACGCACCACACCCCGTGTCTTCGCAACCAACAACTCTGATAGGCTATTTGACTTCTCGGTGTCGAGAGTAAAATCAAACTATTACTAGCATCATTAAAAGATTCTGTCATTTAAGATTTAAGATCCAATGGCCTTTCATCAATCACTCATCCTGGTCCTAAGTGGGACTTTCTCTCGGACAGATGAACACTGAAGAGCTCTGCTCAGCATCTCCTAATTAGTCCCCCTTCACTTCTCCCACCATTTTGGTTGTTTTCGATATTGACAAGCAGCTTTCTCTTCCTATAATGACACTAGCAACTTTGTACAAGGACACCCCTAATAAAGGCTAGTCACTGACTGTGACTCCCAAACAACTAACTTTGTAAATTGTGCCAAAACTGAGCAGAATTATGCCGCTTATTTATTACATTTTGCGTTTAAATGTGATTACAAACATGGAAAGTTGCTTCTATCACAAACTCCGTGTTTGTGTTCGATTCGCGTGCACGTTTGTGTCAAAATTTTCGCACCATGTATGCAGCGTGCTTTTTTAAAATATTTAAATACTCATTAGTTTGCTACGGCTATCACCGTAGCCATGATCGTTGCTGTATATTTGGAGAAAATCTCAAAACACATTTTTCAAAAACTTTTTTTCAACTTTTACAACTTCACGCGTTTCTCTGTTTATTGACATTCGCCCGAGCGCAACCTGACTTGACAGAAACAAATAACAGAATTATGTTACATTTCCTATATAATTCAGTCTTTCGTTGCTTTTCTCTCAGGTCCCAAACTAGGCGCTGATTAACCCAAAACTTTTTTCTCTAGCTCACCCCTCTCTCATAATTTGAATAACCCCGATATTTTAATTAAAGAACGTCGTAACAATTTTCTAAATATGCATAAAACTCACCGTGGGAGCGTTAACATCCTTTCTATGGTATTTTTCTTGACTTTCAACTATTCCCCGGATTTTTAATAATTTTTTTCTCATATTTTTTGCTGGACGCGGCGGGCCTAAAAATTGTTTGCTTTCCCCTCTTTCCAGCAGCCATTGTGTATGCGCTGCGATGCAACCAAACCAAGATTTGGCCACGCCCACCCCTAAACCCTCCTTCCTCGCTCTTGGGATTTGTGTAATAAACTGTCATTTTCAGATTTTACTGCCACTGACTTCCCTTTAAGAAAATCTAACATTTAGGACTCGTCGGTAATTCTGTCAATCGGTACGACTTCGTTTAATTTCTGTTTAGTCAATAGGAGGGTAAAAGAGTTATCATCCTTATTCCATTGGCTGAAAGAGGTGACAATTCATGCAACCGCTACTGGTGACGAATTTCAACTTGCTGTTTGATTGGTCATTCATGCCTGTCAATCACCTACAAATAAATCGTTAGGTTGTGTTGTGTTGTGACATACGCTGATTACGCTCTGTTTTGACGTGACGAGGGAAGGTTGAGTGTTCATATGCGACACGTAAATTGTAAGTACTTGCAACAATAAACTTATTGTTCAGTGGCAAGCACAGTTTATTTGTGTTTTGCTATTGAACGTGTTTCTTTTATTGTAATTTGCAAATATAATTTGTAGAAGTGTACGACGCAGTACATTCGGCTGGGTCAAAGTCACCGGTCTTCTGTCCACTAATTTAAATGACTGAGATTAGTTGTTTTCCATGCTCTCGTGCTTTGTTTTAAAGTGAGTTAAGGTACGACTATGTGCTCATTATGTTTTTTAATTCGTATTTGAGGTGTTTAGTTTGCAATAGTCTCGCAACTGATGAACTGAACCAGTCTGACAAAGGTCGTGGAGATCTAAATTCGTTTGCATTATGCGACAAGTGTCAATGCTAGCCCTTACGAAAAGTAACCATGGTTTTATTGTAGTAAAAGTGTATAGTAACCATTTTTTTTCGGCGTATTGATTACCATTTGTATAACCACAGTTTAACTACAAATACCATGTTTAAACTATGGTTAGTGTAGCAAAACCATGGTTAATTTGTGGTTGTCATGGTTTAACTAGTAACCATGGTTTTTTGGTTTAATTTGTAGTAAAACCATGGTTAATTTTCGTAAGGGATATGACTAGAAGTATCAGTGCCATTTAAACTGAGAGAGTATAAGTCATCTCATATTTTGTTTAGTACGTTTTATTATAGCGCAAAAAAGAAAAGAAAGAAATATATATCAAGAAATGCAAGAATTCCTGAATGACATACATTTGACCTTCTTGTATTTTAGCATCAATAAGATAGGCTACTATTAGAGTTTATATAAATATTTTGAATTAGTTTTTATTTGTATATTTTAATTTAAGTTTTATCTATCTATCTATCTATCTATCTATCTATCTATTTTACAAATTCTGGGTTTAAACCTTATTGACCCTAATACTGTACTGTTAAACACTTTGCCTATTTTTGTTTCACTATCAGCTACAACACCTCCTATTTAATGAATAATAAAAAATCTCTTATTTTTAAACATTTTTTTTTAGAAATTTATATGCAGGCACAATTTGTGTAAACCTATAAACATGCACCTAAGCAGAAACCAACAACATAACATACAAAATCATGCTGTCCCCATCACATTTTCAACTACATTTTTTTTAATCAACACTCAATCAACATGTCAGCAATCATATGTTCCATATATTTGATTTATTCAATGAATCTGCAAAAAAATATTTAGCAAAACTTTAGCAAAAGTTCATGCTCACAATGCATTGATAAATGGCTTGACAAAATTATAACACAATACAAACCAGGGTTTAATAATGGAGATCTGTTGAAAGTTGTATTTACTGACTTTTAAGTGTTCCAATCCTAATATATTTAGTGATGGGAGAAACGAAGCTTTTCGAAGCATTGAATCAATTGAACCAATTGCTTCGAAAAATGATTCGATGTTTCGAAGCACTTGAAACAGTACATGCTGGCGACACCTGCTGGTGAAAACGTTGTAAAAGCATCAAGAACTCAGACCAAACTTACAAAACAAATGGAAATGTTTTTTTTTTAGAAATGCCTTTTTTTTTTTTAAATAAATAATAAACACTTAAATACTATTAAACATTAGTGTTTGTGTTATGTGTTTTATTTAAGTATAATCAAACCCTTAACACACAATGAACCAAATTAATTATTTAATGAATAAATTGATTTATGTAATTTTTTAATTAAGTGTTTTCATTAGAGCTGTCTATAAAAACCAGCAGGCAAGAGTAGTGTCAACAAATTCAGCTTGATAATGTTAGATAACTTTCAACCAAAAATTATTCAGACAGCTGTTAGTATGACAGTATTTACACAGGCAACCCTTAGCCTTAATGACCGCCTGTAGTCTCCTGGGCATGCTGTCATCCAGCTTCATACAAACCTGAACTTCAGTTTTTTTCCTAGTCCACCGTATGAAGAATTTTTGGGTATAATTTATCACAGTTTACTTTATTTTGCTATCCTCTCTTACATAAATGAACTATAGTGTCCTGCACCCACTAAAAAAAAAAATAAAAAATTATATCTGGTCTCTGAATCATTTTTGGTTTGACTTTATATCCTTCGGTTATTTTCACACTTAATTATGGCCATTAAAATTTATTTTACAAGTTTTTGTCACTTTCACTGTTAATTTTTTTGCTCTGTGGTACATCATCTTTAATTTAATAGCATTAGAGCTGCTCCATTGCA